AAGATGTACGCAAGCTTCTGGTAAGTCTTGATGGGACAGAGCCTACCGGCCCAGAAGGAATCCACCCACCGATCCCCAAGTCCTTATCGGCCATCATTACGCCTTCTGTAACTTTGTCCAACAAGTCACCATCCACTGGACTATTACCGGGCGACTGAAAATGCTCAGTCGTAAAGCCAATACCGAAAGATGATAACTCAAGCAAAGTGGATAACTACCGGCCGATCTGGCTGGCCGCTGTTTTTGCAAAGACGCTCGGGAACCTCGTGAAGAAGAGTCTTTTGCAACTTCTCGAGTCGAAAAGCCTCTTGACGCCCGCACAACATGGTTTCTTGAAAGGTCTCTCGTGCATCACCAACCTACTGTTGACGAGGCACGAATGGTTGCAAGCGCTGAACCAAAGCAAGTCGGTGGACGTCATTTACATTTAATTCAGTAAAACTTTTGACAAGGCAAATCATGCAGTGCTCCTCGACAAGCTGAGGGTGTGCGATTTTGGCGGGTCGTTGCATCGATGGAGCAAAAATTTCCTTGTTGATTGAAAGTGGAGGGTCTAGGTGGACAACTATATGACCGACTGGTATCCATCGAGCAGTAGCGTGCCTCAAGGCACTGTACTGGGGCCGGTTTTGTTTCTGATCCATGTAAACGATGTGCCTCAGCTACTCCAATCACCTTGTGCGTTGTTCGCAGATGACTTGAAGGTGCGGAGAGTAATCCGCACACCCAATGACTGTAACATGCTTCAGCAGGAAATCGAACGCCTCTCCACATGGTTTGCAGAGTTCAACCTTCCGATCAACCCGGTCAAGTCGCATTTCATGAGGCTGGCTAAGTTTGAGCACAGTCGAAGCTACACAGTGGCAAGTCAAACGTTGCATCCCTCGCCTTTCATGCGAGACCACGGTATACTCTCACGCTGCGACCTAAAGTCTATGGACAACATGAATAGGCTTTACCAAAACAGCCTTCGTGTACTTTGGACGCTCAGGCGCAGCTTCAGCACTTGGTCCGAAGAGATTGCCACTCGTCTCTTCTTCGCAATAATACGACCAATGCTAGAGAATGACTCTGCTGCGTACGGTACTATCACCCGGGGAGAGGTAGAAAAGATTGATTCGGGACCTTACAGGACACGGCTCGCAGCCGACACCAGTGGCGCGTCTGCTGCCGTCTCCTAGTCGGATTGCCTGTTTAAAGCGTGTTGAGTTATCTGCGGGCAATGGCTGATTATGACGTGGGGGCAGTGAAAACCGCAAGGAAGCTGTCTCGCCGATGCTGCCTTATCTTTGCACCATAGCCAGTTGGTTGTGACTGTATGTTGTCTGCACAAGATGTAGGCGCGTTGAAGCTGAATATTTGCTTAGGGCATTAATGTCTTCAGATAAGTCCCTCTACACTCACTCTTCTAATTCTTTACTTCATAGGTCGTCATGGTTGTATGGCAGCGAAGCATCAGTTCAAATGGCTGATGTACTGCTGCTGTTGTTGTTGTTGTTCAGTGGACAGACCCAAGTGGTATGTATTTCTGCGATCAGCAGGGGACGTCAGCGTGAGTGCACTGCTGGAATCCTGCAACCGGGTTTCAGAAACGTCAGTTTCGAGTGATTCCAGGGTGCGCGCCAGCCCGGCCTGTTGACCAATTTGCATAGGCGTTCGTACGTTGAAACGTGCCAGTCAGAACATAGATCGGGGTCGAAGTAACGCCGTCGATTGAGCTTTACGGGTGTCGGCAAAACCGGGATCGGAGGTAGGATCAACGGAGCAAAGATTGATAACAAATGCAGTGTTGGCGAACGACAAAAGCAGCAGTAGTGGAAGCGTTAGAGGTAGGTAAATCCATGGTTTTTCTTAGCGGGCATGATACTACCCGTTTACCCAAGCCGAGGTAGAGGGACGGAAACAAGGACGCTGCACGAACGAAATGGTTTTCAAGCGTGACCTCCACCCACATTAGCACCCAACCCTAAGAAGTCTCTAACACTGCGATGTAATACGAGCCCGTGTTCAGGCGCATCAATGTAACATGATTCAAATGGAGTAAACGGATAGAGACTAAAACAGTCTGTAACACCGATACCACAACGGTGTGGCGAAAATGGACTAGTCCAGAAGTTGAAACTAGGTCAACGTGTGGGTGATTGAATTCGGTGGGCAGACTCAAAGTGCAAGTGATTATATTGTGAGTGGATATCAGATCACAGAATCTTGATTAAGAGCCATAGCACACAAAGTTAAGGTTGGGCAATAGGTAGTGGGAATCGCAGCGACATCATCGAGTGGGACGAAGGTATCACAAGATAGGGAATTCGGGGTTCTACACTCCCGACCAAATTCTAAACAGAAATTTCATCTTCTGGATTTCGATACGCTCTGCTTCGTCCTACCTTGCTCCATCCGCTCAGGACTCACAACGATACGCCCGAACCTCTCCACATCAATCTGTTGTACTCACAGTGGTCCTACCTGAGGCGCAGGTTGGATGACCTGCCTCCCACAAGCGGAGAAACGACAGCCGAAATTGGCCCCATTCCATTAAACAGCTTCTCTCAAATAGATTACCCCAGCCTCTTCCTTGAACACGTCTCATTAAACCAGCTTCAATCGTACGATTCACGATTTCATTTGGATGATGATAATTTTATTTTATTCCAATGAACTTAAAACCATCGCGCCAAACTGACAGCAAGAAGGTATCCGTTGGGACCTGATGACGTAGAAACACACCACCACCGAGTGAACAAATCGTTACACACTAAGTCTGTTCAATCGTTCTAGTTTTAAGTTAGCGTATCCGATGTTAGTTTTCTACTTATTTACCACTACCGACGCGAACTATTCGAGCAGGAGAGTTGGTGATCTAGGGACATTACCTGGAGCAAAGATCTACCTGTCTCAGCTTATGCTGGCCTGTTCGTCAAATAAGATTTTCCTCTATGAAGCAATACACTGAGGATGCCGCTGAGGGAAGTGGTGAAACGTTTGTCATTAAATTACTCAGCTCGGAGAACGAATCAAAACGTTAATGGCATCTAAATCTGTGACTCAATTTTGTTTGGCTCACCTGCTGACAACCTCATTTCCTATTAGGCAAAGTTGACCAAGGCTCATACCGTATTACTAGTATGACGGTAGACAGCACAATTCCAAACACTAACAGGAATAAACTAGCTTCGAGCAAAGTCCCTTTCAAAATACTGCGTTCATCACATCAAACTAATGAAGCTTTGTAGTATCCTCTAGTTGTCTGTCAATACCTTTGATGAAACACAGCATACTCAACGCGGCAACGGATTCGATGCTCGTTCTTCACGAAACCAAAGGACGCTTTACGAGCCGAAACACGATAACTCCAAGTATACGTTTCTTACCTGAATGTCGACTTACTCAATGGGGTGCTGCAACACGCGCTAACAAATTACATCGCATCCATTGGCTCACAAGAACGCTACTGAAGAAAACAACGATTTAAAACTGGCCGAACAATTGAGCCTCGTTTAATGCGATAAACATATATCACAGCGGTATACCTAAAAGCGGAACAAATCGGCGCATGAAATGGAGCCCAGAATTACTGATACCCTCAACTATCTTCCAGATATAAATACTTTTCTGACGAACTTTGAACCACTCATGTAACGGACAAATCACAGTTTGTCGGATTCCACCGAAACATGCCACAGGTGCCGTCCCTAGCTCCGAACTTTCATCCAGACATTCACACATTCCCTCGTTCCGGACACATGTTCATTGTCTGAGTGAGCGTAGGCTAGCCCCATCACCATACCCACCCGTGTTCCATGTGTACTGTTCATTAGCTGATCGACGGACGAATGATCACTTCGTTGCAAACCTTACTGAATGACATTGGAACCGCTTCGCTTCGGTTTGCTTATCGGTTGACCGTTAATGTTGCATGGCCTGGCTTGACAGCATGTTGCATTTCAGACCTGAATTATTGTGTACATTTTGGTCCGGATATTGTTTGAGGTTTGTTGCTAAATTGTTGTCTAACCATTTGTAAATAGCACCGTAGCTCTTCCGGCTTTGACTTTTGGATTGACCCGGGTGCTAAGTGTTGCTCAAGTTCCACGACTGATTTGTCGATGTCAACTCATATCATAAACCTCTCGGTTTAAAGTGATTTCAGTACGCCAAACGATTTTAGTCATCATCAATACATGTTAGCCGAGGGTGAGAAGCACACTTCAGCTAATGTGCCGTAATACGAAAAAGACAAGAGATTAAATATTACAGACTACGAAAGCTGAAAAACGTAACATAATGCTAAAGTCACTTTATGCATTGGCTTTGAGACCATTGTTGGAAAGCGAAGAAGGAGAGGACCAAGAGACTCATCATACAAATACCATTGAAGTCAGCTCCTCGCTACGTCAACTAGTGTATCTAAGCAAACGTGTTCATCGTCCTTCGGACCCCAGCCAGACAGTCAGGAAATACCAACCGACACCAAGTTTGTGGTGAAGAGCTGCATTCCTCTTGACCAAGTCATCCTTAGCCTCTCCTTCTAACCAGACCCCGGGCGTACAAACAACGCACGATACAGGATTCGGTGTGCACCCTTGCGCAACACGTAGCCCAGCCATCGGAGCCTGTTGTTTGATCTAACAATGTGAGCGGTCCACTCCCACTTCCTGCACCAAATACTACTCCCCCAGTGATGTACTGTAACACAAACAGGTGATTTCATTGGATGTTACCCACTCGAAAGCGCTGTACTCAAAGACCCTCGTTATCCCTCACTTGTTAATTCGCATTACTACGTGTTGTAGTTGATTAAATTGAACCGCCCGATGTTGTGTGTGCTCGCTATCGTTTACCGATTGTGCCCAGCAGCTTCTCTATTTGCCTCTTGCTTTTACACATTCACTAGAAATATCGTGTGCACTGTGTATTTGGGGTGCAAACTCGACCTCAAACAAATCGCGCTCAGCGCCCGAAATTCGGAGTACAATCCTAAGCGTTTCGCCGCCGTGATTATGCGCATTCGCGAGCCCCGAACTACAGCGTTGATTTTCTCCTCGGGCAAAATGGTCTGCACTGGTGCGAAAAGTGAAGACCAAGCGCGACTGGCTGCCCGAAAGTATGCACGTATTATTCAGAAACTCGGATTCCAGGTGAGTGTGCTTCTGCGCCCTTTGGATCTCTTATATGCTTGTCGGAGTTCTCCTACCGTCATTGCTCATAAAGACCAGTATCTCTAAATTCCTCCTATGAACTCGCACTATCTTCTGTGATTGTTATGGCCTTCTGAGAGTTAGCCCGGCCAATTGCACCTAAAATGCGTGTTATTTTATTATCCCATTATGTTTTGCAAGGCATTGAATGGTGTTCGTAGAAATCCGTCACATCTAGACAGACAGATAGCCATCACACGCCCGGTAAAGCACAGCACAGCCGTTTCACCATTTCTGGGATCGCCAGAACTGCGCATTCCATCTAACCCTTGTGGGTCTTTAATCCCGAACGACTGTTGTCAGGTCATGGTAGAGACCACTAAGCCACGGAGGACGATGTAATGCGCACTGCTGACTATTCGCGAACGGATGCAACGGCTGTACAGTGCTTTTGCGGGCGTGTGCTAGCTATCTGAGTCTAGATGTCATGAATTTCTACTTATATCACTACGTTTCGATGTGCCTCAATTGTTGCTTTTTACGCTGTAACACCAAGTTGATGCGCTGCTTGGGCTGTTTGGTATTTCTCGATATCTTATACTTGAGCGGTACTCTGCAACTGTGCTCCTCTTTCGGTTCCACAAACATTTTAAAATCAAAATTGTATAGATGATATATGGCCATTCAAGCACAGTACCCCGTGTTTAAATAAGTTGTTACATCATCTGAAACTGGTGTGGACTTACCCGTTTGGATCCATAGTGATATTTAATGTGTCGTCGTACTTTGATTCCCTAGTCCATGACAGAATCCTGTCTTAGACTATGGGCCTTGTCGATCGACGTACAACCCGTTATGATGCCGCCTATTCGTCCTGTTGTACATTGCGAGCGGCAACTCTATTGATAGTGGCGTGAGATCCGGTTCTCCCCACGTATGCGTGACCGCGGTACTCACCATCGATAGGTTGCATGTATTGATCCGTCCTGGATTAGGCGGATGACCATCGCTTTAGGAATGTGAAACGATTTAAGGGTATATATATATATATATATATATATATATATATATATAATGCAGGCCCAGATAAAACGCTGGCGTATTCACGCTTCCCTGTGTAAGGTAGTTCCTTATGCCTAGCTACCATCACTTCAATTACACGTTCGTCTACGTTCCCCTGAGCTCACACGTATGTTAGGGGGTTCTCCAGTTACAGTCACTTATTCCTATTATTCCAATATAGTTCAGTGTGCTTGAAACACAATGAGCGCTCTGCTATGCCCACCGTACAGCTCACCGTTCCCCGCAAAGGTGGCGTAAGCAACGTCCACGCGTTTGTTATTTCCAAGCGCTCTGCGTCACAAGCGATGCTTGCTGCTGCGCAGCTTCAAACTTTTGTCTACTGGTCGTCCTATGCCTCCTGTCCGCTCACATTTAACCGGGTGCTGTGAATTAGCGTCCGTTGTTTTTGCTTTAGCGCCACATGTGACCACCACTCCCATCTACTTCTTAAAAACGTCGTTTCATTTAGATTTAATTTGGGAAGTAGACTATACCAACGTTTACCACAAATTTCGCGCTCTTCGTCATCGGGAGACGCTGATCATTTCGTTTTACTACGATTTAGTTGATAACTGGCTCACTGCTCGCATCTAGCACATTCTATGCGACGATATTGTGTATTGTCATACGCAAGAAGCACTAAGCTCATGCGTGTGCACTTCTTCTTTTCAGTGACGTCATCCCACACACGTCACCCGTTGCATCAGACGTAATTACACCAGTTTGAGCACATCACTTCACTCGATGTAACCACCTTTTTGCCATCCATGCACTGAATGTTTATTTAACAAGTCTAGCCTCTTAGCTCCTGTTGCATAGTGGCCGCCTGTTTGCCCAGTAATGTGTGGAAACCCTATGATTCCATCACTTAGTGGACGACAGCTGAACAGACTGGTCGCAGGGATTAGAGACAAGTGCCCATATTACAATCTGACCGATGACGGTCATGCCACGGTCGCATGTATCTGGGTGCTCCTTGGATTCCGCAGGCTTAGACGGAATCTAATCTGTACGAAGTTGTATTAAGGCTATCTTAATTACACATCAGGGAAGTGTGTATGTCGCTCGGGAAATTGTAAACATCGGGTGGAGTTTCATTTTGCTAGGTGACCTTCATCTTCTTCACAGCTCTCTGGCACACATGCATCCTCTGGCTCTGCGCCGTTATTACTGGAATTTTAATCGGAAACGTATGGTGCTTATGTGCCACATCTTCCTTCGCACCCTTCACTCTATACACTTGCAGGTTTTGCACCAACTATTCTCTGGTATTCAGTTCAGGGCCGTTTCACGTCCCCCCCCACTAGGCGTGCACTTCTGGATTGTCAGAACATCTCCACCCATTGCACACTATACATGGCTGATGTGCGTAGTGTAAAGGGAACCGGGCCTCACATATGACTATGTTTTACACTAGTTCCACTATTACTACCGAGATAAGTATGCTAGGTTGGAAAAGTTGATGTATCTAAAAGCAAAGGAACAGTGCGCTCCAGAATACGGCTTCCGCACACGATGACAGCAAAACGAACAAGAAAAAGTTCAGCCGTATAACCCATGCCTCTCAGTTCGAATTACTATGCGTCTGCCAGAGTAATGCGTTGAGATTAAATTCCATTGTCATCACGCGTCTTGGCTCTAGCGTGAAACCTGGTGCACACGTAGAGGGCATCCACTAAGATCACATTACTCTGTCTATTTAACTGTATATTTTCAGCAAACAGGTCTACAGGTATACACATCGAGCGATAAAACCACTTATGAATAAATAAACACTGATCGCACCGGGGGCACATTCCCAGTTCGCACTTCGTTTGCACCCAGCTGTACGATGAGCCTCGCTTAGGTGTGCCGGTTTGCTTTTGTTAGGGGCCAGCACACCCCATGTGATTTACCATACCGTAAGATGCCCTCTTCTTTCACTATGCGATGAAGACAAGAAATGGCCATGAAAATAAAAGTGGCCCAAAGATCCTGGATTTCAACTCGGTTCCCCCACCAGATGTGAACAATAGTTCGCAGGCATCGGTAGTGGAACACGTTCAATCAGCTTGTGGTTTGTCCCCTATTTTGCCAATTACTCTCCAATGGGTCAGTGGTATTCGAAAACACGTGCACAATTGGTCTTGTTGTCGAACACCCTTCTGCTTGTGGCTCGCTGCCTAAACTTGTTTTATACTTGGCAAACAAATGCCGAAGTACCCTACTTCTACTAGGCATTACGATCGAACGGGATATACTAAGCGCGCCTGAACAGGTGTGATGAGCTACTTACGGAATTATCGATGCACAAGCCGCACATCGATCGGTTGCGCTTAGAAGATCGCAGATGTGTATTTGTCTATTGGTCCTACAATTTGCTAACCAACAGTCATAATAATGATTGGGTGTCCAGATGGGATTAGTTCGTTAATGTCTACTTAGCATAAGGCTACATCCATTCGATATCATACTGATTAATCTTCGAAAATTTCCAAGTGGTGCACTAACGGTGTGCAATTGAATCTCCAAGGGATGTGATTGGAAAATGGAACGAGAGTTCCGTCAATCATCTGTGCTTCGTAACAACATATTGCGGCTAAATCCGAGGTGCAAAACGACAGACATTTGAGAGCAACAAGTCGCAATAGAAATTACTGGAATCTCAATTCCAGTGGAGGTTCAAGTAAAGCATATTCTCATTATATCAGTTGGCTAAAGTGTCACGAATCATGTGATGGCACATCGGACCAAGAGAAAATCGTATCAGTGATGTTGCAATCGGCTTTTCCTTATTAGGCCTAGTGGCTTGTGATAAATGCACCTCCCATGGAACTTGTTAGACATCCCTTACCGGGTGAAACCAAAGTTGCGATTGATAGACGACTCGTGCGCCATTGCTGTTAGAGCGGCGCTTTAATACCGCCTCCGTTACAATTGTAAACCAACGCACACTATCCACTCACATATTTAAGCCTCTAAACGTAATATCTCGGATGCTTGCGTAATGTGTAAGGAAACAGCTGAATGTTATAAACCCTCGTGCGGCAACACCCACGGCCCTCAGTAGAAAACTAAATCTGCATAACCATTAAAATATGCTCGAAAACATTAACATTTGTCACCTGCCAATACTCATGTGATGCCTCAAATCTTTGACTCGCGGTAACCCGGAATTCACAGATGTGAGATGTCATTGTCTGGGTGAGGGGCAGTCGTTCTCTGAATCTAACGTTGGCGAAATGTAACAGTGTTTGAAATTACTACACCCATTTTTACCTCTACTCTGTGCTTTGGCAGGGAAACTAGCTTCACTTTTTGTACCACATGCCCGATAAGTTTTGTTGGCCAGTTTGTCTTGAGCTTCCCGGTGTGCGCGTGGTTTGTGCAACCAGTTAAGTACCCCAGTACCCACACCTTCGAATAATCCATCCTATTCTCTAATGGGATTTTCACCAGAAAGGCTGGGGGGGTCAGTGATTGTCCTATTCGTATTCGTTGTGTCTGCTTGTTGTATCGCCCAGCGTTGCATTTGATGATTGTCTGAAGCTCGACACTTACCGTGCCCAAGGTTCCTGAACCGATTTCGGTTGTAGCTTTGCACTCGCAGCTCATCTAGTATTGCACTACTTTGGTGGAGACAAACTTTTCGACACCATTTTTTGATATGCATGTGATTGGTAAAACCAATCGCAGGCGTTGCACACGAGTCTACTCAGTCGGTGAATTACCTGCTAGGCGCACGCGTAATCTCGTCACCACGCAGTCAGTCGGGTGAGTATACGCCGTTGCTGTATCGTTGGGGACTTTCACTGAAGATTCATTTGACTAGCACATGCACGAACTAACGGAGGCTTCCATCTTTGCTGGCCCACTATTGGTGTCGTTCCTCTGAGTACAGTGAACCTGGGATTATGTCAATTAGAAAGGGTGACTACTTGAACCCATGATTTGCTGGTAGTGGAGGCTTCGATGCGTTTGCAATCCAGAACGTTCACGAGTTTTTATTTCCTTGACTGGATCTTTATCGTTCACTGTGGGGCTCCTAGGCAAACTCGGTCTTGACACTTTCCCTTCTCTTTTGTCACTTTAGGCCCATTTCAAAGAGTTCAAGATTCAGAACATGGTTGGTTCGTGTGACGTGCGCTTCCATATCCGATTGGAAGGCCTGGTTTTGGCACAAGGCCAATTTGCTACGTAAGGAAATGTTACTACTAGTTTTGCCCTTTTTTCTACCCCCGGTTATCACCTAGATGGATTTGCTTCTCTCCACTCCTCCGAGCACTATGCCATAGATCTGTTTGAGCGTGCTACTACCATATTTTCCCCAATTGTCGGGAGCGTTTGTGTATTCCCACCTCACTTCACCATCATCAGCACTTGACCATCTGGGAAACGCCAACACTTTTTTATTTTCGCTTATTGTTACAGTTATGAACCCGAATTGTTTCCTGGTTTGATTTATCGTATGGCGAAACCGAAAATAGTGCTGCTCATCTTCGTCTCTGGCAAAATTGTTTTAACAGGCAAGTACCGTTGCCTTTTGAATTTGCCTCTCTCCTCTGTTGAACACCACTTTATTCAGCACTCTTTCTGTGCTTCACTGAACTTTCCCCCTCCATTGATTGGTATGTATTCCACTTTCCTCTGAGTCACACAACGAAGTTGTCTTTCCTGGGATGCTCAATACAACAGTCATTGCGACCCCCTCACACTATCATTATAATTTTACAACTCAGCTGGGGGGTGAGAAGCACCATAGCTATTGTGACACAATACAATTCGTAATGTAGCGGTTAAACAACAAAACAAATTACATGCTTGCGCATGTCATCTTGAGGCGCTCGTTGTATGAATATTCAAAAAATCTTACACCTTGATTTACACTATGCATTTACAGTGAGATCGGGGTTGAAGATGAAAGCTAAGGTGTTTCTATTTCAGCTCATACGAACCCACCCGCCTCCCATGGAAGTACAGAGTTTAGCTTGAAAGAGGCGGGTTAGTTGCTTCAATTACCATTATTTCGGGACGCCGGTTGTATGTAAGTCATTTACCCGGATCGGCCAGGACTCACTTCGTACAACAGGGCTGCACGAACACAATCATTATGGACCCTGTCTTTACCAAAAGTGAAACATCACGACGATGCCACGGATGACTCATGTTAACGGAATCTTATCGGGCTTCGGCAACACGGAGAGATCTTTCTTCCAATAATATCATCAGCAGAAACGCAGCTTCCAAGATAGACGAAGCCATCTACTTGTTCAAGCTGCACACGTTCAGGAATCAGCACTAGGATAGCCGCATGGCAATCTATACTTAGTAGCTTCCATCGCCAAATGCTTTACAACGATCTGCATAATCTGTCGATGGTCACCGAGCAAGGCAATATCATCTGCGTATTCCAAGTCAGTCGAGCGGTTGCGTGGAAGAAGCCCCACATCAGAACGCTGGAAACTTTCCAGAGCACTTATTAAGACATTCTCAATCACAAAATTGAATAGGACTGGAGACATGGGGTTTCTCTGTCGCACACAGCAGGTGACGTCGAACGGTGAAGTGACCTTACTGTAATCCCCCGCTCTGCCAGCGACATTAAAATATAATGCTCGAGGGATGGCGGTATACTTTTCAGATACCCCATTTTTTATAGACAACACTATAAACCAGGCCGATCGACAGAATCGAAAGCAGTTTGGATGTCCAAAAGGTGATACTGGTAGATTGGCGGTAACACTGTTCGAGGAGTCGCCGGATCGCAAATATGTGCTCCACCTCAACTGACAATGTAATTCTCGAATCGGTGTTAGCATGCGGAGTAAAATGGGTGGTAACGATTTGCATGCGACGGGTATTAAGCTGATTCCTCGGTGTTTGGCGCATAACGTACGAGCGCTCTTTATGATCATCTGTGATTATCAACTTCCCTCAAGAGGATGGAACCTCTTTATACCAAACCTTGGAAAAATAACTGTTAGTTGGCGGATAATTGCCTTGTCAATGTATTTAAACAGCTCCGGAGAAAGTCCGCCTGAGCCATCAGCCTTGCATCGCTTAATGTAAAGAAGCTCAAGGCAGACCTCTGCCTCGGAGGGTGATTTTAGCGAAACGTCCCATGGCGCGTACGTTGGCATATTTGTTAGCTAACCAGAAGGAGAAGGTCAAGGCCATCAAGTTTCGCGATTGTTATGCAAGCGTTGCTTGACTTTTTGGCTGAGGTTGCGGTGAACTTCACTGCTGCTTGAGTCAACTAGGATAGCTCGATGACGGTCAAACAATTTCGAAGAGCGATCAGGGACCCAGGCTGTCAGTGATTCCACAGAATGATTGACCTGAAGAAACAACGCCCGGAGGTGAAACACTAGTGAACACATTTGATACTGAGCACTGATAAGCCATTTTAAAAATAGGGGTTAGCTAGCCTGTTATTATCCAGTGTATGATGCTTAGGTTCGAGTAACCACCAAAGCGCATGCAGATGTCCGCACAGATCAGATCGTGCTCCGAGTCGAGGAAAGTAGTCCAAATCGATCTGCCATCCCGTACACTGTTTCGTCATCTGAAGCTGATTGTAAATTGATCATTTTATGACCATGCTTACGTTGATAGAGGGAGACGTCAGGTGGCTTCGCGTCTCCTCGAACGCCCGGCGTTTCTCCTCGAGAAAAAGAGGCCGTTGTCTGAGCGACCCTCCTGAAGAGTGTGACGGCCACCAAGATGACGTTCCTATGACAGCAGGCGATCGACCGGTCTCTGGCATGGACGAAGATATCTAGTTTTTTTTTAGTTTTACTCCAAGGTTGGTGGAGTTCGCGCTAGAAGTTCTCCTTAAATGACGCATAACTGTATTCGATTGAAGCGTAAGCGGAGATAACAAACAAATTCCGTCTCTCTCTCCACGATATCTGTTGAAAATGCGCGAATCTTGATGCCGAACCGCACACAGTCTGCTGTCAATCGGAAACCAACTGATCAACGAAACTTGATTCCGATGCCGACACCGGCCAAGCCAGATGCATCTGTTTCTGTTTCACCAAACAGACGCAGGAAATATTTGGTCCCAAAATCCTCTGAGAACGTCAATTTAACCACGGTGCTGGAGTCCTGTAATCGAGTCTCAGAAAGGCAATAAATATTGATAGGGAGGAACTCCAGGGTGCGCGCTTGGTCAGCCTGTTGTCGGATCTGTATAACCCTACCAGACCTGTGGCCCTTGAAAGAATTCACCGGGTTGTCATATGATGCTTGGTAACTGACAAGGCAGGACTAATGTTTACCCATTGGTTCACTCCATCTTGTTGCCGCAGGGACCGCTTTGACTACTGGCAAATGTTCGGTCATCTTTTAAGTCAGCCGACGGTCCCTTCTGCCTGTGTGCGTGTTACTGCAACTGTAGATCAACTAGTAGATAACGTGAGCGGCCAAACTACCTGACGAATGGTTCCCAATGCTCTGGAGAATAACCTTTCTTGTGGTGCAGATGAGTCGTAGTTTTGCATTCGTGTAGGTGCGCGTTGGAGCACACCTAATTTTTGCCCAATATCGTTCACAACATGAACGGTAAGAACAGGAGAACATCCTTTCTCCTGACATTTAACATGGGCAGTTTCTTCTTGGGAAATATGCTGTGGACTTGCATGAGTTTCTCAAGGTCCCCACTGGAGAGTAGCTTCTATATAAAACTCTTCTATCTTTAGTAGCTCCGGGCTGCACATTTTCCTAGCCCTGTAGAACAACGTCCTCACGGGCCGCGTTTGTCACTTTGCGCTGGATGATGTACCTTCAGTCCGACTTCTCAAAGTACGTCCAAAAAAAGCTGACTGTCTTGGTGTTCCATCTCTTGTGATACAGAGACATTAGTGTAAACAGAGTTCCGCAAGGTGGTCAGACGGTTTAAATGTTCCTTCTTGGGGAAGATTATAATGTCTTCCACCTACCGTTTGTATAGCTTTGCCTCATCGATGCTGGCAGCAACTTTCAATCATGCCAAGGAAAATGTTCATCAAAACTGGACCCAGAGGACTATCCATAGTAAGACCCTCAATCTGATTGTATGTCATCCGTTCGATTTCAAAACGTCCGTTCTCTGTGCACGGCAGGTACTCTCAAAATAAAATGACAAAAACCGTCCACTGTTTCATTGAGGGGCACATTTGTGGGAATGGACTTCACGTCTATTGAGTGCATGATTTAACGTTAATCGTTCCAGTGCCCCAACTAACTCAAAGGAGTCTTTTAATCAATGTGTGGCTTGCAGCTGGCGCACAGGCTCTTAGAGTTTCGTCAGCCATCGCGCAACCATGTGATAGAACGACTTGTTAGTACACATGATCGGATGCAGCGGAGTACCAGCTTTGTGCAATTTGGATACGCCCGTCATCTTTGCATATGGAATCTACAAAATACGTTATTCTACCAATGATGAAGATGAACGCCATATTCTTTACGTTTTGTTCAACGTTCTTGGGAGCGGTTATGTCTAACTTGCACCATCGACATCGCCTTAACTCATGTCATGCTGGCGTTTTAAGGATAAATTCAGAACGTGAATTTAGGGAAAAGACATGTCTTTATTATTTTGAAATCACTACCCAATCCAAGTTTGTCTTAATTAATACAATGCTTAAATCACATTTTAGAAAGTATTCTTACAATGGACGTCAGCAGAAAATAGGTTAAGCGGTTCGTTTTCGGTTATAGGTTCATAGTGACTTGAATAACTGCTACAATAAATGATATTTGTCCCGTTCATCCAAACCTGAAGATTTCTCCCGGTCTCAGCTAGCTGTGAGTAGACCACTGAGAATCTAACGAAACACGTTATTAGCTCGGCCTGTTGCATGTTGCACGATCATGAGGACTTAAGAGACCATTCCATTCGTTAAACGGTTCTGGGTTGCCTGTGACTCCATTATGTCACTATGGACCAAAACGCCACACGCCAATTGGCCATGTTAGGGTCTAGCAGGAGCCCAAGAATGAGAGCGAAAGGCATCAACAATACTTTGGTATGTAGTATCGATGTTTCACTGCCGCGCGACCACCACCAGTCGCACGTGGGTTAAGGATATTACGAAGGTCACGCGGTCCCTACGCAGGGTTGTACCGCGCCCTCGGATTACATGACAAGCTTGTGATCCCTAAGCCATTTTCCAACAAAGACTGATGCTGCTAAAGCGAATTTCGGCCGACAATCATCAACGGTTGGCGCAACCATCCTTCTATTCCTTATCCACAGATATCATTCCCTTGCGTTTTCGGACTAGGTCGACTGATCTCATTAAACACCGTCACATTAACCCATCATTACGTCGATTTGCTCACAGTCCTCACTCATACGACTTATTATTCTCCGCCGAGTTGCATGCCATACATTTAGGCTAGTATTTACTCCGGCAGAGTATATATTAACTGACTCCTAATTTCGCATTGATTTACCCAGCGACGTAGCCCATCTGAACGACTTCACGTGGCGTTTTTCCTTTGCTTGAAGGCCATTGACGCTTCTGCTCTCATTGTT